CAAGGAAAAGTGAAGACATTTTTCAGTCAAAATATTTACAACTATCACTAAGATAACATTTAAGTAAGTACTTCCCTATTGACACTGTTTGTTAACAAAATGTTACAATTTGTTTTTCAATCAGGGTTTTTTTGGGTAAGGTAAAAATCCTCCTTATCTCCTCTCCTTCGACATTCCATGTAATTTCCCAAATTATTTATGTTTTCTAATTTCTAAAGATGTATGGTAGCCTAACGGTTTAGAAAACATGTTTAACTGATTTAATAACTATTTAAAATTTTAAATAATAGACTAAAGAATTAATCAATTTTGTAATTTAAATTATTATAATGGTATATAAGATCTAAAATAAAAAAAATTATTCATTTTAATACTGAGTTATTTCAAAACATATGCAAATAAGCTTTTATATTTGTTCAATTACTTACAAGTAATAATTTTCTAGTTTATTTCATTATTATTTGATCTTAAATAAAAAATTAAAAACATCCCAGTGAATTGACATGTATTTAACACAACTTTATTTTTAATAATTTTGCTGAGCAATAGACATCGATGACTCGATTTAAAAAATGTATTCTTCATTAAAAAAATGTATTGAGTACTTATATTTAAAAAAATATTAAAGATGCATATTCCATATGCATAGATACCACATCAATGGAAAATGCTCAGTATGAACTATGAATGGTCATAAATAGTGCATCTATTGAAAAGATTTTTGTACATACAAATAAATTAAATAGATGCTGAAATAATGAATTACATATAAAGCTAATGCGTGGTCTTCTCACGAATGTTTTAAAAATACTGTCTAATAATAATCTACAAATAAATATATTATGCAATCATATTTAAAAATGTCCAATAAATGTTTAGTTTTTAGTCAAACTAGTGACAGCTGTCCACTTGTGTAACAGTGGTTACATTCATTATTTACATAATCTACTACATGTTTTCTAAATACATTTTTATGTGTTTTTTGTATTTGTTAGTTCATGTTAATAATTTACGAGTTTTTTAATAGTTGAAAAATAACAAATTAATACTTTTTAGCGAACCATGTTTAATATATAGTATCACTACGCAGTTCAACGGTCAAACGCACAATGACTAAATGTACTCAAATCGAGTGTTATGAAATATTTCTTACCATTTTCGTAACACTATACTTAAAAAAATAGGATAAAAGAAAAAGAATATTTTAAAGTCCATTACACTAATGGCGTTCGAGTACTTATACGAGAATACAAGAAAAGTAAACATGAATTAAATATTGAGAAGCCAATAAGCGAGCTACATAAAAATAAATTAATTGAATTTAAAAAGATTCAATTACTATAGGTATCAACTAAATAGAAATGTACGACATTTAGTAAATAATAAATGGAAACCAACATCAGAATTTTGAAATTTAAGTTTAACATTAGTTCATATTCGGCTAGACCGTTTACATTAGTACGTGTCCGTGCTCTAATGTAAACCTCACCTTTGTAGCATTATCATGATTAGGTATTAGATCATAGATACATGCGATGATTTTGGAGAAAATTTGTTCAACATACCGTATTACTAATAGTAATAGAGAAAAAACCCAATGAAGTGGTCCACTCAAAACCAATTACAAAGCAAAGGTATTTCTCAGAGCTTTTTTTAATTTAAAGATGCTGAGAAATATTCTTATGTCTCAGGAAATATATATTTCTGTATATAGGTACGTACAAGTCTTTAATAGTCATATTAACAAAAATTATAAGTTTTACAAAATTAAATTAGGATTCAAAATTATAAATCACACTTTAGGGTAAACCTAAAACATTTTAATTTTTAATAAAAAATAACAGATGAAAATATGTTTTTGAACAATTTTTTTTCACTGTAGATTAATTTAGCAAGTCCTCGCACAACACATACATTATACACACGCATTACACCTACATTGTCAAATTTAAAAATGTTCTTGTGTGTATATATATATTATATTGCATACACATCCAAGTTATATGAAATTTTGCAATAGTAATAAATTCCATTCATATGTGGCTAAATATGTGTTGTATTTATATATTCTTACACAAAAACAAAAACAATAACCTAATATCTTTGTAAGCTGAAGAGATCAATGGAAATTTGTGTTAAGTGCTTTTACACTAATTGAAGTTTGTTTAAATAATTACTTGGTATTCAATTTGAAGAGGATGCAACATTGGGAATTGGGATATAGGTACCTACTATACTACCGCCAACCTGCAGGCTGCAGCTATCCAATATTCACGTATTACACTGCAAAATCACCTTTATGTATATATTAATACATAAACATTGCATCTATTTGTTTTAAATTAAAAACTATAGATTACTACATAAAAGATTCAATACTGCAACAATCGATCTGTTGGAATATTTATAATATAAGGTGTAAGCCTATATATTACTAGCACAACTTACAAAAGTCGTGTAAGACACCGTTTTAGATCCCGAGAGGAGCAAAAATTGCATTATATTTATAAAGATGTAAAAATCACAACAATTATTGTGTAGTTCAAAATGCGTAACATTTTCAATTATGTAATACAAACTGCATTTTTTTATCATCATTTGAACAAATATTTAAACGAAAATATTTTTGATGTTTAGTTGTACCTAATTCAAAAACTATTAATGGAAGGAACTTGGAAATTTTTTACAATACATAGGTATACACTTATTTTTTTGACACAATAAAAAGTTCAAAATATTTTTACTAATTTTAAACAGTTAATAAGGACCCCTATTGACAATATACCTCAGTATTGATTGTAAAAATAAGTGGATAGTAGCACAGAAAAAGCACGAATAAATTTATTTAGAGACCAAAACCAGGTTCTATTTTTAAACAATATCTATTATTTATAAATTAAATAAACTAAATATAAAAAAAAATTAAAATTAAATGAGGGGCTAATTGTTATTGTCTAGCTCTACCAGTACGTTCATGATGTAAGTAGATGTAATGATGTAATGATTTAAGTAGATTTCCATTGGTAATATATATTTTTATTAACATACATTTTGTTGTGATAAAATTGCGACACTGCGAATGCTATACAACAGTGCAAATATCAAATATTACCTACCATTAACTCTGTACTTATTAATTATTATGATCAAAAATAAAATACTTCAATGGATAGTTGTGTTCAGTATATTTTGAGTATAATGAAATATACTTTAAAGTTTAATAAATATTTCTAATTTTTACACGCCTCAAGTAAAAAAGTAAGATCTAACTGAAAATTATTATAAGAAATATCACTAGGTACCCAATATACTATGTTTTTGGCTAACATTATTTTAACATATCTATCAGGTATATTAACTACCAAATAAAGCTAGTAATAATATTAATATAATATAACATAAACTAGTATCCATTAAATGAGATTCAGATCCACCCGTTTCCCTCGCTTATAATTTTTTTTCTTCAAATCTAACACTCATATTTTGCAGTGCCATAATCAACGACGGCATACACTCGATACCTACTATACAACAGAGTTCACCAAGTTCCTGGGTTGATTTTATTGCTTACTATACCTATCAATCTTTTATTTAAAATGTATATTCAACTATTAATAGCCCAATACTAAAAAATAAAAATAATTTAGAACCCAAAATGTGTGTAAAGAACTAAAGACGTAAATCAAAAAAATATATATTGTTGGAACTTATTACATACATAGATCAAAAAATATAATATAATATTAATATAATATTTCACAATTATTGCACTATCTTTAATAGGTATTGTATACTTAATTTGCGCAATTAGTTTAATAATTAGCAATATTGAACAGTAATACTTGGAATTTTGATTAAGTACAAAGGATAACTTTTACTGTACGGATGTAATTCAACAATGGCCTAATTTAAACTATATAGCATAAATATTAAACAAATATTTAACAAAAATAGGTTAGTAAGTAGAATCTAGACATAATTATTGTTTTTAACTATCAGCTATATTAATTAAACATAAATATTCTTTAAATATTTTGATAAAAATGAAATGTATTTTAATTGTTAAATGTTTATTGTGTTTCTGAAATATAATTTACAAGGGAAATGTTCATTAAGTTCAAATTTATATTTCAATGACATTGCTAATATTTCGTAATTTTTAATTTTAGGTTTGTCATGTTTCTAATGCTCATAGCATAAATACTTTAATTAAAGTATACATTGATATTAAACATATCAATATATCATATGGTATAACTATAGTACCTATATATTATGTTTTTATCATAGAAAGTTAGGTAACTTTAAAACTTTATAAGCGTCTTAACAAAATTTAACTAGCACCTACCTGAAGTTTCTTCAGAGCTATTAGAGTAAGCATAGTGAAGTGTTATATTTGTATGTGATATATTCTCATGTAATCAGTAAAACTTATATTTTTTCAATAATTTACCATAATACTATACTTATATAAGTTGTAGGATGTATCTTTATTGTCAATTTAGTTAAATAATATATTTATTATAAAAAAAATGTATGTACCTATATGTTCTATACCTATAGTAACCAACAGGATTAAAATTAAATAATAAACATTATCAGTTTAAACTAGTTGGATTATGATGTTGGTGGTTCAGCATTTAAAGCACTCATAACAAAAAAAAAATAAAGTTCGGTAGACTAACACCGAGAATAACTTATTAGTTATTATACATTAAATACGCCAAACTGAGTCCAAACAAAATTGAAAATATGATTAATTTGGCTTTTAAAACAAAAAATGTAATTAGCCTCAATTATAAAACAGTATTAGAATTACAATCAATCGATAAGGCATTGAAGTTCAAACCTAAAACCGGTAGTACCTAAGCAATAGTAGTAATAATAGGTACTGCAATATGTACCAGAATATCTGAGTTAGTATCGTAACAACTACCTAACTATAATGACAAATAGTAAATATAAAAATAAGTGATAATACTCAAAATGACAAAACTTACCAATGGATATTTTGATAAAATGATCTTCTACGTTAATGCTCTGAAAAATATAAAAAAAATCATATAATATTCGTTTGCACGTCACTAAAAATTAATTTAATATAGTATTATAGGTATTATACTATTTTGGGTGCCTATATTATGAAAAGTACAAATTTCTGATTTACACCTTAATACATTATAATATCGAAATTATGATAAGTTTTATTTGCTCCCACATGTTTTGAAGAACAATTAATATTCTTCAATGACTTCCCACGGATTTGTGTAGGCGCCCGCATAATTACTATACGCCGAAGGAGAACTGCACAACAGTAATGTGTCGTTCATTCAGCGAACTATCTGAACCCAAATTATAAACACGGAACGCACAAACCCATTTTGTAGGTATTTATTTATTTTTTACCTTTTTTTTATTCTTTCACTTTAAGTTTTGAAATTTCAGTCACGTACAAGGCGCCGAAATTCCTATTTAGTTCTTGGCGATTTCGCTTAATACTATGTTTTGAACTAATTTAATTTAAAAAACCACTTTCAATGAACAAAATGTTACCATCGGTAACACTTAGTGTACTAAAGTTCCCTTTAGGAAATCAATAATATATTTCACAAAAAAAGATTTCGACAATGGATAGATAATATTATTACGTATTTTGTTATAGGTATGTAGGCTATAGGAAGGTATATAAACATATTTACCAATTATTTATAAATTAACAGGGTTCATCATGACAAACTGCCAAATATTAAAAGTAATTAAAAATACAATCGTATTAGTATTATATGTTTAAAATAAACATTTGGAATTTACTATTTTCTATATAATATCATTATTTTTTGATCAAATGTCAATAATTATAATAAGGGTAAATAATTAGGTAGCACATAATATTAGTTATTAAATTATATTCAACAGCCAGGAATTTATTTAACGTTGTAATATCTATAATCGTAAATAATGTACTTTTTGACATTATTATTAAAAAAAAAACCTATTATTGAAGGCATAATAGATAATGATAATATTATATTAAAACTTATTAAAAAGCCATTAAGCAAAAATTAATTATGTGACCAATACACAAAGAATATTATAAAACCATATGTATTAAAAACATATTAAATTAACTTCAAGCAAATAGCAGTAACAAATTCCGAACCTTTTGAGTCATTTAGTTTAATTTGCTTATTACTATCAGACAATTGAATATTTTGCACAGTAATAATTGTAGACAAACATCCATCATATTATTCTATCAAAAAAGTCTTATTGAAGGAACTCCAAAGTCAGAACACTCAATAATTGACCATCATTGATGATAATTAAACACAAAAAAATCTGAACTTCATTAACATAAGTATTATAAAGAAGGCGATATTTTAAAGATAATAATTTACATTAAGTGTGGTATATGATATAGTCAGATCTATATGTACCTACTGATAAACCATATTTGAATTTTTTCTTCACGTTTAAATGATGATTAATAATAGGTACCTACTCAGTTTAATTCCGTATCGAGATACGATAATAATACGTGTGTTCCCTAGCGAATAAAACAAAACAAATTTTAATTTGATGTATATATTTTTATATTGCTATTAGTTTAAGTAATGAATGGTATTTTTAAACTAGTTATAATTTTTTTGTCGAGCTATGGGAATTAATGAAAACCGTATAAAAAATAACATTAACTCGTCTAAAATCGTCCAACAAGAGGTGGAAATCCAAAGAAAAACTATAACTGAAGAGTATAGAAGCCCGCAAATCTTAATTATATATAATAATAGCAAGTGGTGACGATTAAATATCTGACCAATCAGTTAAAAATTGTATCAAAACAGTTAAGACTGAATGATAGATTCGATATTACAAACATAAACTTACCTAATATTATATTATTTAAATTGATAAGTAACATTTAAAAAACATACAATAAATTGACATGGTAAGACTTATTTTCTGTGCTTTTTAAACTCAAATTCAGGTAACAATATTATATTATTCCTAAGTAAGCCCATGTTAGTATGTTACCTATAGTAATCCCTCCTCCCTATACATTATAAATGTATGTATCTACAGTAAACTTTATTTTATAACCACTTACAGGTATATTAAGTTTAAATTTTCTTAACTATTTTACTTCTTAATTCAATTATATTTTAACAACCAGTGAAGAGATATTTTTTTTATAAAACCGTCTCACTAGGATCATTCATTAATTACGATTCAATATATTTACTAGATACATAAACAGTGAATATAATCAGATTCATATTAACAATAATATGAGAACAACTTGGCATGATAGTTTTATTTTAGATTAAATACACCTGATATCTTGACAAGCTGTGTTGATTAATACATTAAGTCAGCTACCGCGATTTATCGTCTTAATAATTAGTCCTGAGATAGAATATTATAGCTTGGTACCTATTAGCAAACATAGTTAATACGTTCTAATTAGATACAGTTATCTTAGCTCGGAGAAATAGTTCACACTATTCTGAATATAGTTTCGAATATCACGGGAAATTAAAATTACTTATAATTTGTATTATGTATTCACTAGAAATTTATTAAGGTACATTTTCATTTCAAATATTAATATCCAAATATTCAAACTGTACATAAACTAGAAAACTGCATGCAATACTACAACAGCACCTATTTATTCTAAATATTCGTTATCAGTTTGTCTACAAATGTAGTGTTAGAGTGGGGTTAAGGTATTTTAATTTTTGAGCATAATAATAGCAAACCGGTTTCAATTTTGGTTTTTTAGAAAATACATGATCACACTTATACATCATCATAATATATGTAATTTCTTTTTAATCAAAAAAATTAAATAATAAATAATTACCTATTTGGTACTCACATAATACATAACACATTAAAGTACTATTTTAATTGATAGAAAAAATAATAATTTAAATAAAATTAGAACAAAACAAACCCAATGTCAAAATTCAACTTAATCTTCTAATGTTTTTTAGACATTTAGTTTTTAGCTAAATTACATTCAATTATTTTACAAGCTCAAAATTAGAAAAAAATAGTCATTTGACGTCGGCAATGTAGTATAGTGTTGCACTTAGAATACAGTGGACCGTTATATTAAGTCCAATTTAGTTTCATTACAGCAACCGCATGGGTCGCCGACTATTATAGCGAGTAAACAAAATTAAAAAACATTGTCAATTAATCAGGTCATATCGCATCAAAACTCTTAACGAAAATCTCTTAAATTGTTAACAACCTCAATTTTGTTGCTAAATTTAAGTCTAGATACCAATACTTTAATAGGTACTTACATTTAATTGAAAGTACATATTAAAATACTAAAATATTTAATAACACGAATATCTATTTTACAGTTACCATTATATTTAAATATTATAAAAGAACCTACAATCTGCAGAATGAACATTTAAAACTATATCATTTTTATAAAATAAATTAGTAAACGTTCAACATGGAATTTTTAAACAATTAAATTATCTTAAAAACAAGTAAGTTTCAAAATCAGTAAGAAACCGATGTAGTATTTCTCATCTATCTTCTCTTACAACTTACGACTTACGTGCACGATAATGATATACTTTTATTTTGATATCTTAAGAGGACAACGATATTGCAAATGAGAACAATTTAAGACCTCAACTGCAATTTTGTTTCATGTAATTTTAATAATTAATATTTATTTTAACAATAAAACAATTTGTTATGTATTTACGTCGTCAGCACTTGTTTTGGTATATTTGGATAAGAAACAGAAAAAACAGTCCATGGTCTAGGATACCCTTAAAGTAATTATAAATCATTGGGAACCACCGACTCTGTGGCAACTTATAAATCCGAAAAAGCTTTGACCGAAGTTCAAGGTCATATGTTTAAAATTTAATTAGACACTAAAATGTAGAGATAAATTATATGTATAACCGTAACGAGTACAAACAACTTACCTACTATATAATAAGTAACATAATAATAATTATCGTTTTTAAATATCTACAAAATAATAACTACTTCACTAATATCTGCGTAGGATCGTAGATTAATATTAATATTATTACTACTGTAAAAATTTGAATACAGTATGGTATTTGCATCGGAAAAAATGATTCTGAGTGGACTTCGGTAAAGTGTCGACTAAAGTCTTCAATGACTAAATGTCAAGTTACTAACGCGACCAATACTTTAACTCTATATTATCATGTCTGATTTAAATTTGTACTTTTTTACTTAAATACTATTTTCTTAAAACAGTTTAAGTTAATACTTAACCACATATTTTACCTTTATAGTTGTTTTTCAATAAAATCAGTTAGTCTCGGGGTTAGCTCATTTCGAGCCCATTAGACGTCGACAGTTTTTAATACTTGAAAACTATTTGTTTTGTTAATGGATATTACCACAGCGGTAATGTTGATGTTATGGCAAAGTAAGTAACAGAGTCGTCTATTAAAAAGCACCAAGGAATTCCTAAACGTCAGTACCTACATCTACCCTATTATAATTATGACGGCATGCTTTTAAAAAGCTAAACACACAAAACATTCCACAGGTAACGGAAAATGTAAGACCAAATGTATATTATTTTACCTACTTTCCTATACTAAGTAAATAAGTAGTCGATTATGAACGAATGCTTGAATAATTATCGTTACCATGAGTAAAATTATTTGTTATATTATATGTGTTACATATCTACTTATACCATTACAAGAAAAAATCAAATATATTAATTAAATAATAGGTGAAGTAAAATGATGGTATGTAAAGAAATACTAAAATCTGAATGAAATATAAAAATTGATATTATTCAAATAATAATAATCCTGAACACAATACATAAAAAAAAAAATGATTTATGATCTGTATTCGACGGACGTCGTGCAGATTAGATGTAAAAATTGCAGAATTAATTATGTAAGAAATACAAACACATAAATGTAATATTTTAAATAAGTTTGAATTAAAAATAAGATCAAACGACCATAACACCAACATCATTCGAAGAGATAATCATATCA